CCCTGTTTCGATTTGTGTCACCCTCTGATGACAAGGAAAGTTCTCGTTTCATGGGTACCTACCGTGTGCCCCGTGCTTTGGTGTCCAACAAAGGTCACCCTTTCTAGCCTTCAGAAGAGGCCTGCAGGGTGGGAGGTGATGTCCCCCTTTTATCTGAGCGCGTGGAAACTCAGCGCAGGAGCAACTGCTCACGGTTGCACAGCCACTGAGTAGCAGAGCTGGCATCGAAATTCAGAGGCATCTGACCCAACGCGAAAACCTGTGTGCTTTCTGCTATACCACAGGGTGCTCTGGTCTTACCTGGGGAGGTGGGGAAGGGACCCTCACCAGTGCGAGGTGCATTCTCTCTGCTCACGTTTTGTGAACCAGCCCAGCTCAACCCAGGAGTTGCTCTTCAACTCAGAGAGGCCGTTCTTGGCTTTCCTAGAGGAGGTTTTCCTCCCAAGGAGCTCCCGTTTTTGTCTCTCTCCCTCCATCTCCCTCTGTGCCCCTTCTTTTCTCCCTCTCACCTCCCCTACTCTCTCTCCTGTGCAACAGAAGCACATTCTATTCTTGTTTTTTTTTTAAGACAGAGTCTCACTGTGTTGCCCAGGCTGGGGTGCAGTGGTACAATCTCGGCTCACTGCAACCTCCAATGCTCGGGGTTCAAGTGATTTTTCTGCCTCGGCCTCCCGAGTAGCTGGATTATAGGCACATGCCACCACACCTGGCTAATTTTTGTATTTTTAGAAGAGACAAGGTTTTACCACATTGCCCAGGCTGGTGTTGAACTTCTGACCCTAAGTGATCCACCCGCCTCAGCCTCCCAAGGTATAGGGATTACAGGCGTGAGCCATCGTGCCCGGCCCCAGGAAGCACATTCTTGATGTTGCACCTTAGCACCTGCTTATTTTCTCTTTGAGGACCTGTCCTTTCTGACCTGTAGTCAGAGATCAGAGTGGAATCCACTGACGCTGAAGATAGGGAGAGGGCGATGGGGAGGCAGGTGGTTTGGGGCCTGAGAGGCTGGAGTGCGGAACCTGGCACTGCCCTATACTCACTGTGTTGACTGGGGCAAGTTGCTTGACCTTGGCAGCCTGTTTCCTCGCCTGTGAAATGTGGGTGACAGCGAGCCCATCCAACATGGGATTGTTGTGAGATGTGTAAAGCATCAAGTGTGGTGTGTGGCACGAGGAACACAGATGCTTTCCTTGCTGCATTACTGTTTTTTGTTGGTTTATTGTTTGAGAAAGGGTGTCACTCTGCTCCCCAGGCTGGAGTGCAGTGGCGCGATCATGGCTCACTGCAGCCTCCACCTCCTGGGCTCAGCTGATCCTCTCACTGTAGCCCTGCAAAGTTGCTGAGACTACAGACTTGGGACACTATGCCTGGCTAATTTTTGTGGGTTTTTTTTTTTTTTGTGGAGACAGGGTTTGGCCATGTTGTCCAGGCTAGTCTTGAGCTCCTGGGCTCAAGAGACCCACCCACCTTGGCCTCCCAAAGTGCTGGGATTACAGGCATGAGCCACCATGCCTGGGGCTGCATTACTGTTGAGGGTGACAAATTATTCAACAAGTGTTCATTTACCACGTTAACAAAATAAGCAAGGTTTCTACAACTGTGAAACTCACATTCAGGCAGGAGAGAGAGGTATTCAGCAAATAACTAAACAAGGAAATTGCAGATGTTAATGAAGTAAATATTCCAGTGATGTGCTAGCAAATGCTTAACATCCAATTTTCCAGGGGGAAAAAGTCCTGATTTATATGGCATGTCAGTTTTTGTGGTGTAAATATTCCCACTATGGCTGGAAATGTACATAACAAAGTAACCAAAGTGGTGTCAACTGGTTCTTAAAATTCCTGTAGGTTTAATAATTGGTTCTTGTCATGCCTAAGCAGCTGGCTTTAGCACTGAGTGAATCTAATCTGGCTCAGAAAAAACCTGAAGATCTAAAACCCAAGTGTGCCTGTGGAATAGTATTCTAGGCAGGGAAAATGGCTTGTGGAGAGGCCCTGAGGTCAGACAGATCTTGGTGTGTTCAGGGAACAGGAGGCTGGCTGGTGTAGGCAGGAGCCGAGCGGGGTGGTGGAGACGAAGTCAGAGGCTGGGCTGTGGGGAGGCTCATAGATCATCACGTGGGGTTCGGATTTTATTCTGAGGCCACAGGAAGTCTTTGGAGGGTTGTAGGCAGGGGAGTGTCCGGATCTGATTTGCATTTTTAAAAGATCATTTAGCTGTTCTGTGAAAGACCAGCCAGAGGTAAGCTGGACAGTCAGTGCTGGTCACTCCAGTGAGGGGTGATGGCGTCTCTGGCAGTGTGCCAACAGGAGAGGGGCCAGAAGTGGCTGGATCCAGGCGGAGCTGTAGGGACGCGATAGATTTTATCTCTAGGTGTTCCCTGGCTGTTTACCTTGAGAATACCCAGCCGGTGATTTCTGCTTTTCTGTCATGAAGGAGGAAACAGCCACACATCATCAGGGCTCTCTCCATCCTACCTTTCTTTTTGATACCAACTCCTGATAAATCCGGAAGAGGAGATGAGGAAATACATTTGTCTTGGGCTCAAATGCAAAGCAAAACTAACAAAAAACACAATCTCTTCTCAGTCCTGCCCTTCTTCCTCTTGACTGGGGCAAGTTGTCTGACCGTAGCAGTCTCAGTTTCCTCACCTGTAAAAGTTTTGTCACCAAGAACAGTATCTGTTCTTCAGATAAGAGGCTTCTGACTTGGATTTTCATCTTGGCTCGAGGCTGCCTCTCAGGTGTGTCAGACACTTACATAAGTGTCTGGCAGGTTATGAAAAAGGTGATCATCTAGCACAACTCCACTCCTAGCTTCTCTCTTTGTATGGTTTTTAGAGGGGGACATGAGTGTGCCATCTTTCTAGACTGGCATTGTTCAATAGGGCTTTCTGTGATGATGGAAATGTTCTGTATATGTGCTGTTTGTTCATTATGGCTGCCACTAGCCACATGTGGCTTCTGAACACTAAAATGTGGCTAGTGCACCTGAAAAACTGAATTTTCAGTTTTATTTAATATATTCATGTGGTTAGTGGCTCCTACATTCAATAGCACAATTCTATACCATGTGTAATCATTCATCACCCTGCAAATTTGCTTTTTGGCAGGTGACTGGATATCCTACTGAAGGATCTCCCGAGAAGAGTGGGCTCTTAGTGAGTTGTCACTTGTAATCCCATTCAATTAGTGGAGAAAGGAATAGAGATACAGAAAGATTAAATGATTTTTCTAATGTTTCTCCATTCAATGACAAGACAGGAACACATCATCAAACTGTAGATCAATGTCCTTTTGTCTCTTGTTTTGTATATCTATATATATCTATATATCTCCGTACATCCATACACACACACACACACACACACACACACACACACATAAAATTTCACAGGTTTCTAGGAATCTATTATTCCTATAACATGGCATATAAAGTCAAAGTCCTCTTTGATCACATTCTCAATCTTGAGCTCCTCCTCCATTCGTAGAGGTGATGATGGTGTGGTCAGTTTGGAGCACATCCTTTGACAGCTTTTTCTGTTACAGGTGGATGGATGGAAAACATTCTGCATTTTTTTAAAGTTATATCATGCTGCATGTATTTTTCTACACATTGCTTTTGTTTTTCAACAGTGTGTTCTAGATCTTTCTGGGTCAGTTCATAGGCTTCTACCTTACTATTTTTTAAAATGCTTCTTAGTGCATCATAGCCTAGGCTGTCCTATTAGTAGTCAGGCTATTGATGTAACTCATTGTTCATTATGCTGTTTGTTTTTGTAAACATTTTTGTACATATCTCCTGCATACACAATGTTTCTCTAGTGTGCATACTGAGAGGTGGAATTACTGGGTCAGAGAGTGTTTATTTATTTATATGTAGTTTAGTAAAGCTGTTGCTCTAATACTCTTTAAAAGAGTTATGCCATTTTATATTACTGTCATCTGCATAAAAGTGCCTGTTCCCCCCCAATCTCCAAAATACTTGATATTATCAAATATCTACATGTGTGCCAATCTAACTCTAACGGGTGAAAAATGGTATCTCATGGTTGTTTAATTTGTATTTTTCTGCTTAGAAGTCAAACTGGCCATTTGTTTTTTCTGAATTTCCTGTTCAAATATCTTACTCATTTTTTACTGTTGGATAGCCTTATTAATTTATTCATCAAATATGTACTAGAATGCCTACTATGTGCCAAGGATTGTTCTAGGTGCTAGAGATTTTGTGGCGAATTAACTAGATAAACATCCCTGCTCTCAGAGAGGGGGCAGTTTAGTTCTGGGAGAAAGACTTAGGCAAAAGAAATAAAAAAATATAGTGTGTGTGTTTAGCTGAATAAAAAGTAGGAGAAAGCCACTGGAATTGGAATTCAGTTCTAAATAGATGGCCAGGGAATCTTATTTACTCACTGTAGGCATTCTCTGTATATTCTATGTGCTAATCCTTTATCTGTTATATGTTGCACATATTTTCTTTCAGTATTTAACTTATCTTTTGACTTAGACTATGGTATTTTTGTCTCACTCATTTTTTAAATTATACAGTCAAACTTTGTTAATTGGAATATAGTCACATAAGAAGTGAAAGTTCGTTCTTCTGATCTTTTCAGGCAGTCACTAGCAAGAGCTCTGTTTGTCCTTTCAGTTTATTTTCTGTTAATTTCAGTTATTATCCTCACTCATAGGCATCATTCCTTCCACCCCCAGTCGTCAATTAAGCACAGTTTCTGGCTGTTTCTCCATAAGTGTAATTCTGACTTACTGTATTCTTTCTAGTGGCTGCTTAATATTCAATGTTAGAGGGGATCCCTGTAATTTATTCAAGCATTACCCTCTGGCCAGACCTCAAGGTCATTTCCAGTTCTCCATTCTTCCGGATGCTGCAGGAATCCCATCCTCTCTCTGTTGCCATGAGTTCTCCGTTTTTGTTTGTTTGTTTGTTTGTTTTGTGACAGCCACCACACCCCACATCTGAATGATTTGTTTTCTCCCCCCTAGCTCCATGGCTACATGGAAAACAAGCCTCTGGGACTTCAGATCTTCATTGGGACAGCTGATGAGCGGATCCTTAAGCCACACGCCTTCTACCAGGTGCACCGAATCACGGGGAAAACTGTCACCACCACCAGCTATGAGAAGATTGTGGGCAACACCAAAGTCCTGGAGATCCCCCTGGAGCCAAAAAACAACATGAGGGCAACGTAAGGACTGGTGGCTGGGTGGTTGGTCTTCATGGAGAAGTAAGCAGGGGACAGGTGGCAGGGATTTGGGAGAGGGGATTCTATGGAACTGATGGGAACAGCTGTTGATGACGGTCCTCAGTCTATGATCTGTCCACCCATTGTGATTTCTGTTTCAAATGTTTCTATTTTAAAAGTATCATATGTAAGTCAGGTACAGTGGCTCACGCATGTAATCCTAGTGCTCTGGGAGGCTGGGGCAGGTGGATCACTTGAGATCAGGAATTTGAGACCAGCCCATCCAACAGGGTAAAACCTCATCTCTATTAAAAATACAAAAATTAGCTGGACATGGTGGCGTGCACCTGTAGTTTCAGCTACTCTGGAGGCTGAGGCAGGAGAATCTCTTGAACCCAAAGGTCGGAGGTTGCAGTGAGCCGAGCTCACAGTGCTGCACTCCGACCTGGGTGACAGAGTGAGAATCTATCTGAAAAATTAAAAAAAAGTAAAATATGTCAACATTTTCATGCGTTTTGGGAGGAAGAATAGTCATGAATCTTTGTATGACATTGCATGGGATCAGATTAAATTTACTTACATTTAAAAAATTGACCTAGAGAGATCATTAAGTAATGATGCAGAGAGGTCCAAATTCACAAGGCCGATATGCTTGTGGCTAAAGTCTGGGAACCGTTGCACCCATTTTGGGGTTAAAAAACGTTTGGATGGGAAAATAAATTCAAACTTACAGAAATACTGCAAGAAGTATACAAGGAACTTCTGAATTTTGTTCCCTCAGATCTTCCAAGCGTTAACATACTTGACGTGTGTCCCGTCACTTTCTCTCTTGCCTCTCCATTTTTTCCTGAACTGTTGGAGAGGTAGTTGCAGACTTTATGCCCTTTTACTTTTAAATACTTCAGGATGCTTTTCCTAAGAACAAGGATGCTCTCATACACAACCACAGTGCATTTATTCGATTCAAGAGATTTCATGTTGATTCACTACTTTTACCTATTAATAGTCCACCACCAATATTCCCCAGTTACATAGGGTTTTTCAGATATTTTTGAGTAGAAGCGTTGGCATGAAAAATCTCCCTAGAGAAGTAATTTTCACTGGGGAGTTGCTCTAATTGCTTTGTTAAGTGTTTTACCCCCACCTTGGTATACATTCCCAGCTGAAATGCTTATGTGGGTGTATGGCAGTTTCCCCCAGTGGCTGACTGTAGAATTGTTTTGGGTGCCTAAGGCAGCTTTGGGGGTGATCTTTCCTGCTCCTAAAGATAGTTGGTGACAACGGGGTTCTTAACCTCCTGGCAGCATCGACTGTGCGGGGATCTTGAAGCTTAGAAATGCCGACATTGAGCTGCGGAAAGGTGAGACGGACATTGGAAGAAAGAACACGCGGGTGAGGCTGGTTTTCCGAGTTCACATCCCAGAGTCCAGCGGCAGGACCGTGTCTTTGCAGACTGCATCTAACCCCATTGAGTGCTGTAAGTTGGGCCCTGGGGCCAGACCTTTCTCTGGAAAGCTAGGGCCCGTGTGCTTCCCCCCTGGGAGCAGGGTATTCTGGGGGAGGTACCCGGGGTGGTCTGCGGGCATGTGTGGGACCCACAAGGTTACGCTGGCCTGAGATGACCAGAGGGGCCAGAGACGAGCACATTGAAGTGTTCTCTTGCTGCTTCTGTTTACTTCTGGAAGGTTTCACGGCCTCACAGGAAATTAAAAAATAATAGGGCCAATAAGTAGCCTGTATCTTTGTTCAGAAGATTTGAAATGTGTAAATATCATTCTGGTCTTAAAAGGACAGATGCATTTGGAATGCCTTAGCTGTACATGGTGTCCTTTTTTCTTTTCCTCCCTTATTCTTTCAGTAACAATAACAAACTACAGCAGCTCTCACTCATTGAGCTTCGACTCTGCTGGTCACAGTGCTAAGTGCTCAGCATGAATATTCACAGCAATCCCTGGCACTAGCTGGTGTCAGTGTGCTCGTTTTACAGATGGGGAGGTAGAGTCACAAGGGGGTAAGTTGTGCACACAACCAAAGAGTGGCAGGGTTAGGATTGGAACCGGGGCTTTTGCACGCAGGAGCCAGGCCCTGTGCCCCACACATAGCCCGTCTCTGTGTGTTGACTGAGGTCTGTTTTGTATCCTGCGCTGTGCCAGGGATTGGGGATCCATAGATGAGCAGGACACTTTCTCTGGCCTTAATGAGCTTACAGTCTGGAGAGGATAAGGACACCCAGACAGACGGTTGTATCATTGCAGAAAATATTCAGAATCTAATATGAAGTGACCAAGGTCAGCCATTTGGAAGGACACTGGGCAGAAACCTGGCATGTGTCTACCAGGTTTCAAAAGAAGTAGGAACTTCGAGCTCATTCTTCGGTACTTTATATTTTAGTGTAAAGTCTACCTATACTTTAACACGGTTTTGTAGTTAATTTTTGCAGTTAGATGTGACAACACTTATTATCTGCTTAGTGTTCAAAAGTTTAGAAGTTACTTTAGAAAGCATAAGGAAAAGGCTGGGCGCTGTGGCTCACGCCTATAATCCCAGCACTTTGGGAGTCCTAGGGGGGCAGATCACTTGAGGTCAGGAGTTTGAGACCAGCCTGGCCAGCATGATGAAACTCCGTCTCTACTAAAAATAGAAAATTAGCCGGGCATGGTGGTGTGCACCTGCAGTCCCAGCTACTTGGGAGGCTGAGGCAAGAGAATCACTTGAATCCGGGAGGCGGAAGTTGCAGTGAGCTGAGATCATGCCGTTGCACTCCGGCCTGGGTGACAGAGTGAGACCCTGTCTCAAAAAAAAGCATAAAAATAAAAAAATAAACATCGTTCCAGAAACAAAAACCTTTTCAATTATTTTTTAGCCTCTTTCTTTTAAGAACATTTTGTTTTATGTTGTTATGATCATGTTCCATATTAAATTATGGTTCAGGAATTTTTCTTCCTTTTTGCTGGAGATTTTACCATAACTGCGTGTCACAAAATCAGTTTCCTGCAGAGGCCAGGGAGGCGATGAAAATGAATGGGGTAGCTTGGGTCCCTCTCATGGGGAGTCGTGGAGACTGGGGACATTCCCCGCCTAAATGTGCTGTTGCTACTCAACTGCAGCCGCTATTTCCACGTGGGAATGTAGACTCCATGTCATCAAGTATTTTGGTTATTTTATTATTTTATTTTTCTATCGAGGAGGAGCCTTGCTCTGTTGTCCAGCCTGGAGTGCTGTGGTGTGATCTCGGCTCACTGCAACTTCTACTTCCAGGGTTCAAGTGATTCTTTTGCCTCAGCCTTCCGAGTAGCTGGAATTATAGGCACCTGCTACCACACCTGGCTAATTTTCTGTATTTTTTAGTAGAGACGGGGTTTCGCCATGTTGGCCAGGCTGGTCTCAAACTCCTGACCTTAGGTGATCCACCCACCCAAGCCTCCCAAAGTGCTCACCCACCTCAGTTCCCAAGTAGGATTACAGGCATGAGCCACCGTGCCTGGCCTATTTTAAGTTCCAGGACACACGTGTAGGATCTGTGTGTTTGTTACATAGGTAAACATGTACCATCGTGCTTTGCTGTGTATATCAAAGGGAGCCGGAAATCTTTTGGTTTTTAAAAATAAACCAAAAGATCTCCTGATTTAAAAAAAGGTAACAAAATCAAAATACTCTGTGGGTAAGAAAAAATCTGCAGATAGCTTCTGTTAATCAGAGGTAGTTTTAAGACTAACATGCAAAGGGAAAGCGTATTTTCTGCAGAAGAGGTTGGGGAAGACTGACCCTCATGATGAAAAGCCAGGAAGGAGAGAGAATGGTCCCTTCTTCGGGAGAGTGGCAAGAACTTGGTCTTGGTTGGTCTTTAGAAATGAATGAAGAGTCACTCTGATTTCTTTCAGACTTTGAGTCAAGACTGAAATTCTTGGGTCAGTCTCAATTGGTGATGAGTTTATGTTCTAGTCTTAGGAGAAAGACCCAAAAGTAGGTAACCAGGGAAAACACATGTTGAAAACCAGTTTACTAGAAATAACGGAATTCCCCTACTCAGCTCAGCAGACCCCACTCCTGTCCACCAAATGCTGGTCATGATGGCTGCCCCACCCAGGTCTTGGTTTTGAACCTCTCAAGATGTTTTTGGAAGGAAACTTGCAGCGATTTGGGGTATTTTGAGCAGATAAGGTCTCCCCTTTCTGGCAAATGACTCACTTTCCAGGATGGGGCTGGGGGTTGTAGCAGGGTGGGGAAGAGGAGCCCCTGATCCTCTCTGTCTTTGGGTTTCTCAAGGCAACCTATCTTATGTCGATCTAAGACTTTGAGGATCATCACTTAACCACATGTACCTCCAGTGAGATCTTCAGGGTGTTAGAAAGCTGTTCAAATGTCGAAAATGGTTTTCTTTTTAAAAAGGCATTTGCCTGATTCACCTGCCGCCTTTTGACAGAGAAGGAAACTGAGACTTCTTGGTAAGGTGATTCACCTGTTTTTACTTGGTAGGTTGGAAAGCCAGAGTCTCCAACTTTCTGGTTCTATGAAATCCCTTCTATTGGTTTTCCTAGCTGACCCTTTCTTGCAATAGGAAGCTGAGCTACCAGTTGTCCACTCTAGTTCTCACTAATAATTTTCTGTCATTTTTATTTACTTCTTTGTTCTGTTTCCGTAGATCAGTGCCTAGTAGGTCCATAAATATTTATTGACTACTTGACTTACTGTATAATCCATAGGGAGGTAGTCAATAAATATATATTGGCAATTAGTCAGTAACATGCATTGGCAGAATATTGTAAAATAAATTGTCAATGACTAATGACAGCATACCCTTAGACACTGTGGACTGACTAAGCCAGAGTCTCAGTGACGAATAGAGTGAGTTGGTGAGAAAAACACTGTGGGCTGGTACTTGAGATGCCTTTTTTTTTTTTTTTTTTTTTGAGACAGAGTCTCCCTCTTGTCGCCCAGGCCGGAGTACAGTGGCATGATCTCGGCTCACTGCAACCTCTGCCTCCTGTGTTCAAGCGATTCTTCTGCTTCAGTCTCCCAAGCAGCTGGGATTACAGGTGCCAGGCACTGTGCCCAGCTATTTTTTGTATTTTTAGTAGAGATGGGGTTTCACCATGTTGGCCAGGCTGGTCTCGAACTCCTGACTTTGTGATCCACCTGCCTTGGCCTCCCAAAGTGATGGGATTACAGGCATGAGCTACCTCACCTGGCTGGAGGTGCATTTTATGTACTGTCTTAGGGATCAAGGGTAAGTTTTCAGATGCTAACAGAAACAACATGAACCAACTACCAGAGGCTGTTCTTGGGAAGGTGGAGTGATTTGCTCGAAGCTCAGGTGGCTTATGTTTCTTTGCAAGGCAGCTGGCCAGAGCCCCAATCTCACTTTTGCACAGACTGGCACCCTTGTGTTTTGGTCTTCTGTTTCCACTAGGGCTTCAGCATTGCCGAGGAGATCCCTCCAGCTGCTCCCACTGCTCCTTTCCTTTTCTTGGGAAGACTGACTTGACCCTTCTCCAGTCTGCCAGTCTCTGAATGCCACCCCCACTTCTTCCCACTCCATGTAGATAACCGCACTTCCCACTTCCCTGGGAGTATGGAAGAGATCAGGGGAACACCCCATCTTTCCCAACAACAAGCCTACCCATGACAGACGGCAGCTGCGGGGGCCTGCCCTCCCTTGGCATGGAGCAGTTCCCCTCTCTTCCTGCTCAGTCTCCTTCCCCGCCTGAGCCCAGCCTCCTCGGTGTGATCATCTTCAACTCCAGTTTCCCCGTAGGGGTAAAGCTGGCGCCTGCTTCCCTCTCACGTTAGTTGTCCTGACCAGTGACCATAAACCAGTGGCTTGAAACAGCAGAAATAGATTCGTTCACGGTTCTGGAGGCCCGGAGCCTGAAATCAAGGTGTCGGCAGGGTTGGTTCCTGCTGGAGACTCAGGGGAGAAACCGCCTCTGCCATCCCTGCCAGCTTTTGGTGCCTGCTGGTCTCCCTGGCCCCCCGTGGCTTGTGGTTGTCATGCTCCAGGCTCTGCCTCTGTCTGCACGTGGCCTTTTCTGGGTCTCTGTGTATGTCTTTTTCTGTTGCTTATGAGGACGCACCTACTGAATTCAGAGCTAATCCCGGGTGATCTCGTCTCCGTTCTTACCTTAATTATATCTGTAAGGACTCTGGTTCCAAATCAGGCACATTCCGAGGTTGTGGGTGGATGTGAAGTTTGCAGGGAGGAGGAGGCAGGTGAGGGGTACTGTGTAACTCACTACACTTCCTCAAATGCATTTCTTGGCTTCTCTTCCTGTCTGCTCCTGAGTTCTCAAATGCACTGGGATCTTTCTCTTTTAGGCTTTTGCACACTGTCACATCCACCCAGAACATAGGTTCTCAAACTTGACTGGATGTTAGAATTACCTGGGAGTTGTATTAAAAAATACTGATGCCAGGCCAGGCTTGGTGGCTCACGTCTGTAATCTCAGCGCTTTGGGAGGCTGAAACCAGAGGATCGCT